TACTGACATTGTCATCCTTGGGTAGCCTGCTGAGGACAGTAATTCAGATTTCCTTAGGACGAAGATAATCCTCATTCTATAAAACATTTGAAAAAAGTGTTTATATGTGTCCTTTTTTTTTTACTTTAATGGTTTATTTTGGTAACATAGAGACATTTCTACAGGCCAGATTGGACACATGACTCAAAGTTGGACTTTACCTAAGTTGTACTGGCTTGTACGAGGGTAAGCTGAGTTCTAGTTCTCTGTGTTCCAGAGCAAGCTAGAACCGTCAGAAAAGATGTAGATGCCACATTTCATTAAATTACTAGATAATAAAGTTCTTCAGGTGCAATGTCAAATCATGCCAGTATCACCTGACTCACTTCCACTGAGATAATTTGAAAGTTTCTATTTATGTATTGTTTCAAATCTGTGGGAGTGTAGGGGCAGGGGACTCAAACAAAAGCAAAACCTAAAACACTGCCACCACCTCAAAATAGCTAGGTATCTCAACATAAGTCCTGGAGCACCATTTGTGGATGAAATAAAGGGTTTCCCTTGTAGCCAGGAAAGTAAGAATCATATCTAAGATTCTCTTTGAAGAAATTTCAAATCAAGTACAGAAAATAATTACTGTTTGTTAAACTACAGCAAACGGGAGCTTCATGTGCACATTCAAAGGCAGGATTTTGACCTTAATCCATGTTCGTCCATCAGTACAGCATGGACAATACACAACATGAATTTCCTTTGAAGGATAACTTACTAAATTTATATGCTACTTTGGCATGCATTTTCATAAGCCTTTATTCCCAGTGTACCCCTTCCCATGAAGGTTACTGATAACACCCAATAACACCCAATAAGAGATTGAATTTCTTTGAAATGTAATTGAGTTTTTTGAATTCCTAAACATTTGTAGCATGAAAAACTCTCTCAATATGTTGTCTGTAGGTGACCATTATCTCAGAAGAGCAGTAACCCCTATTTCTGTCCAGAAAAGCTTGTTGGCTTTTGCAGCATGCCATCAACTGGAATATAGAGTATCTGCAACAAATTATTTTGTGAACAAGCAACTAATCAGGAATTATTTCCTTGTGTTATAGTACAATAACTTCCAATAATGAATGTACTCAAGAAGGCAGTTGTCTGTTTACAGATAATTCATGAACTGAAAAAGAGTTAAACCATATTTTTATGAAATATTAATATACTACAGCATCTGGCTTTGCTATATCATTGCAATCTTTTGAATATAATTTAGAGTTATGTGAGAAATTATGTAGACAATATATTAATTCTGAATTCTATTGGACTACTCTGTGTCAGAGAAAGCGCGTTAACGGTTGCCCGCATATGGATGAAAATAGAGCTGTCCCTTCCATGTTCTTTTTACTGTAAGCTAAAGACCAAGCTAAAAAAAAGTTGTTAGAAGACCCCACAGGAAAGATCTTTCACATCATCAGGTTACACGTTCTAAGCAGGGCGTCTGCCATGTTCAAGAGAGCCCCCTCCTCTCTTGCTGGAGGCTGTTTGTAGGCTGGCCTTCCACATCCCTTGAGTACAGTAAGCTTGAGTCTTTCATGCAAAAATCATGTATGAGTCTGCTTGATACAGAGGCATCCATCCTGAAATTCATGCATGTAGGTTTTTGATTTACAAGTGAAGAATACATTCACTTGTAAGCGTGTAGTTGTATATTTGCATCTGTAACACTCTGCCTTAGCACAGTGACCATTTTAAGCCGTGTATAATTAATCTGCCAGGGAAATTAATTGTTTATTTATTACGTAAGTATGCCTTTTATTAAAACTACTTTGTGAAAACCTAATTGCTGCTATAGTAATATAGCATAACAGTCCCTCACATAAATACATGATTATTATGTACAGTCACTTATCTGCGAACGAGCTATGCTACTACTTTCCTTAATTAACGATACAAAGGGCTCCTTCATCTTTGCATATTCCCTAGCTAGGACATTGATACTCATTATTTCCTAAGTCCAAACACTGAAACTGTGTCAAGAATGCATCTATCACCAGATGGGTACTTATAGTCAGCGGAATTTTCCACTGCATCAGCAAATTCAGCAATTTGCAATTTCTGTATGTCTGACGTGTTTTTATTGGTGAAGATCACTTTCAAATACCAAGATCATGAGACTGATTCCTCAGTTAGTCTCCTCAGCAGTCCAGCGTAATGACAGTAATTAACAGCCTGTGATTAGCAGCCATTCCAGAAAGTCTTTGAATGTTAATTTGCTTCAACTAATCTGCAGTGCTTCTGTGTAATGAGAACTATGCAATAGGTTCATGGTGAAATCAAATTATTTTCCAGCATTTAATCATACAAATGATTCTCAGTTAATCACTTGAACAGTAAACCTCAATGTTCTAATAAGTGACATTTGTTTTTCTGTCATTTGATTTATTATTAATATAGGTCATGATATGGTGTATTGAGTACCATTTCTTCAAAAAAGGTCAAGAACACACTGTGTGGATCTCATCATAACCAAGGTGATCTCATTTTTTCTTTTTGAAGCAAGGTATTTCCAGCCTTTTCTTTATCCTCCAAATTTTGGTTCTTTATCCTCTTGCTTTCCCTGGGATGTCTTTTCATGTAACACCTGAATTGCACTTCCTCTTTTTCAGACTGTAGATTCCCAGGAAAACTAAACCAGTTGCACTTCAGTGCACTTGAAGAGGATTGAAAAGAAGCAAGACAGAATGAGCTCACATTGCCAGTGGACAGCAGAGACAATGAGAAAACCACAGCGGCATTAGGAACTACCCATGTGAGTTGCTACATTCCTTTTTGTGGTTTACATCTTTAAAAATTATCAAATGCATTTGAAAAAAAAAATATTTATTATGTCAGTTAAATCTTGAGGGAAAATGTTTTCTCTCTCCTCTGGCTGTTTAGGCATATACACATTATGAGCAGTGACACTACAGATATGAGGCCCAGATGGGTTGCTTGGTTTCTCCATCTAGAAATCTATACTGACTAGAGCCCCCTGCACCAGCATGGCCCCACTGTGGACCCTGAGGCAATGCACCCCTCTGCAATTCTCTTGTCTAGTTCAATTTGCAACTGGGAGAAAGAAATAAAAGTTGATAATCTGAGAGGGATGTTTGGGAGTTATTTTTTTATTTGCTTTTTAAAATTCAAGTTTTGAATAGGTAGATATCGTCTTTTTCTGGTAACCTCTCTTGAGTCATCTTCTTACTCAGATCTTTTGCATGATAGGAACACAGTTCTTCACTTTGAAGAACTGCAGCAAAATTGAGTCCTGGAGTGAGTATAAAAAACCACACCTTTAGCTTCAGATAAGGCATTCACTAGCCTTAAATACCTTCAGAAATCTTGTGAATTTATTGTAATTTGACTACTGGACTAATTTTTCCCTCTTGGAAACCAGAGCTAAAACCAAAGCATATGGTAACCACACAGTCTCTTTTATCACTCCCAACAGCCTTGGTATTTATTGCACAGGAAACTCCATCTGACACTTTTTGCAGTGTCTGATGCCCTGTTCAGGACAGAAGCAAATGGAGCACACTTACCCGATTCTGCAACCTGGTGCCTGTCAGTAGGGACAGGTTTGTAGCTTTTTTTAGCATCGTTCACCCAACACATTGAAGAGGGGATTTTGAAAGTCAGCATTCCTGTGGATAGGTAGATTGAAGGTGAATGGTTCTAATCTAATTGTAAATGCCCTGTTTTTAAAACACTTCTTGTCAATAAATCTTTCCATTAACAGACATGCTGGCAGCCCACAGCACAGTCAAATCATTTGGAGTCCTGCTCCAGTTGTAATTTCATATTTCCATCATTCAAAGTACAAAAATTTGTAGAAAGTTATACATTGAATTGGCTGATTTAAAAATGTGTTCAGTCTTCAGAAGCTTGTTTCAGTGAAAATATTGAGTATTTCCAAGGCTGTGACATATTTTCACTGTTCTGCTTTTTACATTGAGCTTAACAATTATAAATGGACCTGTTCATAAACCTATCTAGAAACTGAACACAGGGCTGAGGGTGGCAGATCTTGAACCACAATTACATTTTTGCAGCCAAGTTGTTGTGTGGGCTTCAACAACTCATTTTCCAAACATACAGTTTGAAAATAATGCCTCTCCATCTCAAGGATGCATAATTTTGGTTTATAAGTAGTTAACATTTTTAAATATTTGGAATTGCCTGCAAATATGTAAGTACAATCCCTTTTCCCAGTAATTTGCTTCTATCACTATAAAGTCAGCCATGGAACTTGAACTGAGTTCTCTTTCTAACAATTTTTATGTTGAATTTTTGGTTGCTGTCCAATTTTCTTCAAACTGCTGTCAGACATAGGCAGGTAAGCAATATTCTTACCTTTCTGTTACTTTGCTGCCCCACTCGCCAGCCCTGAATCTCCCTCCCTGTCTCTAATTTTGACCCTGTACAGAGGGCTCTGGATATTGAAAACTGGTACCATGTATAGCTTATTAAGCCAAGGTCTAGCTGGCTGGGCCACATTCAGGTGACTCATAGTGAAGTCTAGCTCTTTTTAAAAAAGAAAAACCAGTTTTTGAGGTAGTTTATCCGGTACATTTTTCATTCCTTTCTTATTTTCTTTTATTTCTTCTGTTCAAAATCTTTTTTATTAGAAGCAGCTCCATCCACTTGTAGCAGCCTTCGTCCAATGCTATCATGAGATTCACTAGCAATGTTCTGCAAATGCCAGCCAAAATCTATCTGCCAGAACATCTGCTCAACAGTGCAAACCTGATGTAATTACCAACCATCATCTTTTATCCTCCTGCTGGGGCAACTGCTCCAAAGATGACTTTTTACCCTGAGCTAACAAGATCCAGAAACTTGCTATTATGTACAAATCCTGACACAGAAAACTAGCATGGTTTATACACAGATTCTTGGAGAATCTTTCAGCTACAAGAGGTAACAAAATGCCAAGTAGCATGAGTCCTGTGGAAATATTTAAAATTTTCTGTGTTCTTATTTGCTGCATCTGCTTCATAAACTGTTGTTCCATGGGATTATTTTTAAGGGTTGGCAATAATCATGCAAAAGAATTCTTTTCAAGAAACATATAATAGTGAAAAAGATGTTGCAGATGCTCAAATTTGACTGTAATTAAATTACAACAGGATGTCATTTATATGTGTGTTCTTGAACAGACGATAGATTATTAGGAGATGGATATTCTGTACATATAAATATACTCAATAAAACTACACTGTATTTGCTTGTACGAAAAACACAAATTCACACACTTTATGACACTACTGGCAGATAAATGTTGCAGAAACCTTCGATACATACCTGTCAGCAACTCTTTTGAGACTATGGACTGATACCTTCCTCTCTGGGAATTGTTTCTGACATTGCAAACCTCCAAGGGCTTTCAATTAATTACAACTTTCTCTCCCAAGAAACCTGATAAATAAGTGCTTTCATTTTCCTTGCACCGTATAACTGACTTCCAGAGGAGCCACCTGCCCTGATGGCCAGTTTCATATCCAGAGTCTCTGGCTGGCCTTTCAATAATCAAAAGTATAGTGTGCATCCAGAGTATAAAACTCTGACTAACCGAGCACAGGAAATGTTATAATTACAGGGGCATACATTTCTCAAACAACATTGGCTTCACCTCATTCCTTGAGAAGAGCATGCAATTTTGATTGCACCTGTATAACCTCGTACCTCAGGTGTTTAGGGGAAACCACCACCTGCAGTGTACCAGTCATGCTGTTTAAAAAGGCAGAGAAACCTCGACTGCTGAAAGAAAAACAGAAAGACCCCACCAAACCAATAACATTTGAGGTGCAAATGCAACATGTACAGGATGTGGTTTCCATTGCACTTCTAAGTAAATACATTTACAAACCATAGCTAAACTTCTGGCAGAGCATCATGTCAGCACTGCCTGCCTGTCTAAAAATATGTGCCTGTGGGAATCAAGAAAAGAGCTCCTTGTTCAGCAACTTCTCTGCTTCTGTACTCTTATGGGTTCCAGGCCTGTATTCTGGTTCCTAGAGATTTAAATCATCCCTTAGATCCTTGGTGGGATGATTTCTGCATAGCTGCAGCAGATAGGGCTGTGCTAAAATGGGCTATTTGCAAAGTCAGATTTAACAGTGTCCCAGACAATGTGTGGATTCCTTCTTGGAGGTAGCACAGGCATCTGAATATTGGTACCAAGGGGCATTGTTTGTGATAGAAATTTATTTCCATGCAGAATGGTGAGTTTTGCACCCACTGCATATAGCACTCTGCTATATTCTGATCTTGAGTTACTCTTAATCAACCCATTCTCAGCACTGAGGTCCACAGGACTACACTGTGCTGCACCAGCAAAGAACTTCTGTCAGCACTGATGACTTAATTAAATACTTCTAAGACATCTGCAGTGGCACCTTTCCACCTCTTCATGCACTTGCCCCAGAGTTTTTGTTATACTTGTTGATATTTTTATTTCTCTGGATAGCCTTCCTATTGCTGCCTGTCTGCACTTTATCATGTGAGGAAAGAAGCAATTGCAGTGACAGAACTAGACCTTGTTATGCCATGAGTAATATTACACACAGTCCAGCACTTCTGGAGGGAATCTTGAATGCTGGTGCTTTATATACATGATAAACAAGGGGAATTTGGTTTGTATTTGAGATAATTTATGGTATAGGCTGCTTCATGTGTAGCTGCTGCTGTGCTGTTCTTTCATGCCAAGATTCATTACACATAATGGGTTGGCTAACATCTCTGGGACTTCTTAGAAGGTGTGTTAAAGAGCCCTAAAAGAACAGTATGCAGATTATAGCTTCCCATGTTTTTCGTAAATGTTTTAGACGTTAGAAACGTGTCATTAGAATTTTTCAAAAGGAACAGAAGGAAAGCATAATAATAAGTATTTTCTTCTTCCTACTCATTTTTGGGGTAATGAATTTTCTGCTTATTGAAGCATATTTTGCCTGTTTTTCTTTCCCTGTTGATTAACAAAGAAGTAGAGCAGTTATCATAGTGCTCAGTAAAAGCAATGTTGAGTAGCACTGAATATATATTCCATATAAACCTGCCTCCCTAATATTTTGGGTTGTGGTTGTGAAGAAAGAATGTAAAAGGGAGATAAAAGCCTATCGGATTAGAATGGTGTGCATCTAAATCCATGTAGCAATTCTTTTGCAGAGGGATAAATAAGGGAGAAGGGTAAACTGGGAGAGTCAGGCTGTAGGTACCAGTACACTAGACAACAGTCAGTCCAGTTACAAAAAGTAAGCTGAATTCTCAACTACTGTCCAGCTACAGGTCTAATGTACATTGCTGGTGAGTCTTGCCTCGAAAGCAGTTCTTAATATTTCTATGCATAGCACACTTGGAGGCTCACTAGTGTAAAATTTTGACCTCTGAGTCACAAAAATAACACCACTGGAACCCATGGTGTTGCTCTGGAGTGTTATTATGCCAGTGGAAAGTACGTGTGGCAGCTAGCAATAATTCTTGCCTCTTCCCCTGCAGGGAACTGGCTACGCTATCCTGAAGGGATCTGACACAAAGTTCTGTGAAAGCGATGGAAGAACAGAGAACTGGAGAAGAGGCTGCAAGCTGCTGTGGTTCCTTCTGTCTGCGTGGGGCCCCACTGTGAGTAAGGAGAGTCTTTTGAGGTTGGACACACACGAGGTCATGGGTGAGTGGTGACACAGGGAAAGCAGGGACACATAAGGATAGCAGGAAGCTGATAGACGGACAAGAAGTCTGCATCTCCTCTGCTTCATTCAGTGACGAGAATGCCACTGAGTCTAGTCTATTTCACTGCTCTGCTGGCCCTCATGCAGCTTCCAAATCCCAGTTGTGTTTGGGTGAATCTTTTTTGTCTATGATCAACTGAACTCATTGTGGATGCAACACCATTGTTATTAATCACTCTGGTATTCCCAGCTCCCTGGATTTTGTTTGGGTTTAGAGTTAGTGGTTCTTAATTTTTAGAGTGAGCCTGTGAACCTCCATTTCTAATATGAGATTCACTATTTATACTTTATTTAAAATACAGGGCTTGTTACCATAGTGCTTTTAACATACTAATATACACATAAAATTTTTATGATGCACTCCCTTCCTGAGAGAAGTCTCAGGAATATAACAATTTTTCTGGGGGAAAAAAAAAGAAGCATATAACAACCCTTCTTAGCTTTAATTTTGAGTCCACAAAAGTCTCTTGCTATGTGTGATTGATCTCAGTGAAAACAAAATAAACTTCCAAGAGCAAAGCATCAGAGCATTTTAAAAATCACCTTATTTCTGTGCTGGCTTCAGCACACTGCTGGTTTGGTGCCTGGGAGCCCACGGAACAATGCTGCTGATGGCTGGAGCTGAAGTCATCCTGGCTACTTCCCTGCACTGTCACCCAAGTACATTTCTGGAGGCAAACTGCTGCCTTAGTCATCTCAGGCGAGTCTAGTGCTCTCCCCACACATAATTTTTCCCTTTCTTTCAGTTTCCCATCCAAGAGGTGTTGCCACAGATCAGGTGAAGTCGCAGCCCAGCAGCCTTAGCCCCAGCAGCAGGAGGCACAGAAATGCTGCACTGCTGCACAGCAGGAGCACCAGGCAATGGAGACCCCCTTGGCTGGGACTCTGCAACGGAGTGGGGGAGATGCCCAGGCTGTCCTTAAAGCACTGCTGCCCTTTTCTGCTCATGGTGGTTTTAGGCAGCAGGAGGAGTGATGGTGATAAGGTGCTTCCTTTCTGTTGACCCTTCTGGTACAGTGCATCTGTTGGCACAAAGCCCTTTCCCTGAGGATATTATCAGTGTACTGTGATTCCAGATGGATGTCACCTTCAGGGTGTTCTGTGTTACCTGTGATGTTCTTTGCATCTGTGGCAAACAAAATGCTGCACCTCTTAGAGAGACTTTGTGTTCTCTGGTCATTTTTCTTCCTGCTTTACCAGGAAAAAGGCGGTGTGTAACACTTGAACAAACACAGAAAGTCTGAATGTACAGCTATCAGGTCTTCATCACGTACTTATCTCTGGTCGGTGAAAAGAAGCGGAACCTTTATTGAAAATTAGTCAAACTGAACCAGGTCCTTTCTCAACAGCTAATCAAACTCTTTGGAACATTGATATGTTTCAGACAATTCTTCAGTGCTTACTTAATCATCCTTTTCATCTGCTTTGACAATATATTATAATAAAAATCCTAAATATTAATCTTACTGTTTTCATCTGGAAGAGTAAACAGCATGGGAAAGATACACACAGTGTATTTCCATGTGCCTGAAATCAGGAATAACTGTAAGTCTAACATCAAGTTCTACTCTTACAAGATTTCCAGAGCAAAGTTATTTAGATACAATTTAGTAGCAATTACAAATTTTTATTAACAAAACTAGGTCAGCTGCAATGTATAAGATTTGTTTTTTACTAAAATAAAAAAAGGTACAGTTCAAAATTAGTTATGCATCCTTATAAATATGTGTGAGCAAACACACTTAAAATCTATACACAAATTAGATTTATAGAGTAAAATTCAATACTATTTTACAAAGCTATAAAAATACTTGTAGATTGTCATGAAAAACATCAATATATTTTAGTTTTAATAATGACAGTGTTTAATAAATAAGATCCAATTATCAGCATCATGGATAATACAACATAAAATCTTTTTTCACACATCTGTGCATTTCATCTTTATTTTTAGCAGTCTTCTCAATTTGCTTTTACTGTTTCTCCAGTTTATTTAGTTAATTTTTTTTTTACAATAGACCTTGGGTAATTGTTTTACTCTTTTTCCTTTGAATTTCAGGATGAGTAGTTTCATGCAGAAAGGTTACTTATTTTTGTGAGCCAGTCTGGCAGAGAAATGGGTGTTGCTTGTTTCAGTGATTTTTGCAAACAGTATGACATAATTATTATTATTACTCCTTTTTGAAAAAGAATCTTGCAATCTACTGTCCTTGAAAGCTGTTTTCTTCATATTTTCCTGTAATTACTCTGGAAATGCAATCAACGTAAACAGATATAAAATAACATCGTTTATTTTGTTGGATTCTCTCTTGCTTATACTAGACTGTATACCTACTACTTAACATCAAATGATGACACAGCTCTTAAAGGAAGAACTTATTTTTTAAAGATGAGGTTGTCTTTTCCTCCAGGTTTCATGGGGTACAACTGCCCTAGGATGGATATCACTGATTCTATTTACCTAGATCTTTCAAGATCTTCAGATTAGCACAGAAGAATTATTCCCCTTAGCTACAACCACCACCTTTGAAGAAACTCCCCATTTCCATTCCTTCTCCTCTGAGCTTTGAAGAGGAGCTCACGATTTAACATTGGCCAGACATCTGTACATGCTTATCAAAGTACAAAATATTTGGAGTGAATGTTGCAGTGGGGGATTGGTAGCTTTAAAAACATTACTGGAGCTGAAGCAGGAGGTGTTTGTTACTGACCATTTACCCATGCACTGCAGGACCACTCCTGACCCTCTCTAGGGGACAGAAGTTCCATTTGTGGCAGTCGGAGCAGTGCCTGTTGTAAGTGAGGATCAGCCTCCTCAAATTTTTTTCCTTCTTGCCTTGATGCTGTATTTGAGAGCACGCATTAAATCTTGTATTGTCTCACTCAGCTGGTGCCACTCTGCCTCCCCACAGCCAGAAGGACAAGCGGACAGGTCTTTTTCTGCTTTATTAAGAGATTTGAAGGTCAGAGCATCAAAATGGTAATTTCAATCAGAGCCAGTCTGGTTGCTCAGCAGACTAAAGGAGCTGCTGTAGGTGGTAGATCTTAATGCATTCAGAGGCTGTGATCTAATTCTGAGCACTGCTTGTTGGGTCAGATCTGGTTGAGTCAAACTGCGATGCATCAGCCCATCAGATCGTTCCTGAGAGGTTTGCCTCCCACCTAGGTGGCAGTAAATAAAATACAAAGAAGGAGGGAATTGGAGACCTTGCCTTGCTGAACAAGCACAAATTTCTGCATTAAGGATTAGCACTTAGAAAATAATCCACTCTTGCCTTTAGTGTAATCTCAGCAGACATACTAAATTCAGCGTTGAAGCCTTTGCAGGTACTGTCAAGTAACAGACATAGGCACTCCTTGCAAATGGATGGGAGTAGAAAGCAGGGACTAGAAGAAAGAGAATAGATTAATTTCATATCGTCTCTCAATTAATCCTTGTACCAAATAGCATGATGTGGACTACAAGAGGAGACTGTTAGGAATTCACGATTTTATCTAAAAAGGAGAGAGGGATTGCAATGGCTTGATTTCATGTGTAAACATAACACTTTATTCTGACAGTATAATAACTAATGAGGATTTGTAGGCACTTGAAGGAATAGCAGTATATTTTAAACAAATATACACGAGTTTTTAGAACCTTACTTACAGCCCTCCCCTGATGCACAGACCTGTGCCCAGCTCCAGCACACTAACAATAGCAGAAACAACAATTATATAGCAACTGTGAATAACATTTTTCAAGACACCGTGGGTACAGTATTAGGAGGAAAAAAAAACCAAGCAAACAAATTAGCAAAATGAAAGTATAGCACAGCACTTAATCACATAGTTGTCTCATTTAAATCAGTGGGTTGACTCATTTTTGTATAATTATGCATGTTTTTAAGATATGCTTGGTATGTCACAAGACTGTGTAATCTTATAATTGCAGCTATCCATTTCCCTTATGTTTGCCCTACCTTTGGAGAAAGTAATGCTCTTTTGTTACTGGTCATGGGTAGCTGACACAGGAGGTGTAGGCTTGCAGCAAGAGCTGGTAAACACTGCAGTACGTGCACAGCCACAAAGTGTTAGTTAAAAAATAACTAATTATTGCTGAAAAGATGGTAAATTACAGACATTGCTTGACTCCAATGATACTACAGCAACCTGGCAGTAGACAACGAAGGTGGCAGGGTAAATGGCTTCTGCCACCTTCATTGTACGCAGCAAAAGTGGAAACCAGTGGAAACAAGAGCAGGTAGATGTAATTACAAGTGGGGAGCTCTGGCGAAGATGGAGTGCAGGTGGTAGGAGAACAGTAGTAAAATGATGTGTTTTATGTTACTGGTGTCCTGTCTTTTATTTACTTTAGTCTGCTGGCAGGATGTTTGTCTGTAAACATTGCCACAAAACACTTAAACAGGAATAAAGGTAACTTTTATTGAAGGAATTTAAAAGTAGTCTCTGGAAAACATGCAAGAAACACCACGTGGACTCCACGTCTTCTTCAAAGTAGAGCGAACACAGCGGGGATCTCCTACTGTCACCAAAACCAAATCCAAACTGCACCTTTTAATATTTATATAATTGAAAGTACAAATCCAGTTTGCTGCTGTAAAGTGCTAAAGTTTCATGACAGCAAAAGACATCTTTTCAAACTTGTAATAACACCAAATTAATCCCTTAGTTTTGGCATAAATCAGCAACATCAGGACAAGAGTGCTTACCACGTATTGCAAAATATAAATTTCCATTCTTTAGACTAATTAGAGAGGCAGCCAGTAGCACCACTATGGTTCTGTCAGCATTTCCACAATAAACCCCCCTTTCCAGGGCTTTATAACGTGGCTGTAAAAAATTAGCTTCAGGCTGAAGCTTGGCATACCATGGTTTGCTCCAGCAGCAAATCAAGCTGTGCATGTGGTTATGTGTGTGGTTTGTTGATTGTTTCCTAAATACACATTTTTTATTAAAATTAGTTTTGCCACTTCTTGGAAGACAATAATAAAATAAATGAATTTTTAAATTAACATAGTTACATTCTTTGGCAGGCTCTTGAAGCAAGTTGTTAAAAGTATTGAGGTTTGAAGTGTGAAGCATAAAGCCTTGTGATGCTTTTTTGTTTGAAATTAAATCATTTCAAGGGAAGTTTGAAGACAGGTTATTGCATTTGCATGATGAACTTATTTCACAGGGTGTGATCCTGACTCCAAGAAAGACACCAAGCAGCACTGATGGGAAAATGCTCAAAAAAGGAGCTCACGTGAGGGCACGTAGCCCCCAAAGCCCTTGGAACAGCTGTGCCAAAGGGAGGATCAGTGTCCCCTGGGCTGCAGAAGTCTCCAGGCCACTAAATGCTCAAGTGGAGCCCTTCTCCACTTTGCCCGTAGCAGTGGCAATGTCAGCCTTTCCCAGGCTTGTGTCACAGATCGGATTGAGTCATCTCTTACAGTTTTTGGAAACAAAACCACTGTTTATTGAATTTACATATTATGGATGACCTCGGTGCATTATTGCTTCAGAAGTGTTCACGTAACAAATTATATCCACCAATTTTGCACTGAGCTAACAGGCATAAATAATCTTGACTGCAAATGTTTCTGTTTCAGCTTCACTGTGCTCTGTAGAAATGTTCAAGGAGTCAGGACACTACCAAGCACCTGGAAACACTGCAGTACAGAGAGAGAAGTAGAAGTATTTGAAAGCAAATCAGAAAGACTGGTAAGACTGACCTATTTTTTTTTTTTTTTCAATGAGTTTTCCTCACTTTAATGCATTTAGATTTTGTTGCATGTTTTGGGATTTTTTCAGCATTTTAAAAAGTGAACAATAGTTGATGATTTAAAAGAAGATAGGTAAAACATGCAAGCCTTGGAAGCTAAATTTGCTTCTTCCAAGAAAGAAAATAAGAGAAATACTCTAAAAACACATAGAAGATGGAGAATATCATCAATATGCACTAACATGCTCTCCAAATCATTCTTCAATATAAGTGTCACAAAGAAAACTAACAATCCACATCCAGTATTCTTCAATCAATGAACAGTTGAAGATGAAAATTAATAATATAGAGTAGAATAACCAATTATAAACCAATTCAAAAGTCTATTCATCATAGATTCATTTTTGCAAAGGGTGGATGAGACTTGAAAGGGAGAGAAAGCAAGTGAGTAAGCAGCACTGAGCCGACTCCCCAGCTTCCCAAGCACAGAGCTTTATCACTCCCCAAAAACAGAGTTTATGGCTGATGAACAATAAAATATTTGGGGTGGGCCATCTCCCCAAGTAAAAGGAGTCAGCTAAGAGAGCTGCCTCTCACACAGAGGTAGGCTCAGGCTCTCCTTCAATCAACAGAATTTGGTTCCAGCTTTAATTTTCTCCCAGAGTAGCTGCCAGGATATCCTTGAACACATAAACCCAATTAAGCCAAGCTAAACTGATCATTAGGCTTTCAAGTACGTGTCTGCTGATATTTTATAAGGCTATAGTCTGCTTAAAGTTTCACCTCCTGCAGCCACTCATGGTTGACCCTGGGAGTCCACTGAAACAACAAACAGAGGCTCCTAAATTTCTGGGAGAGTCTTTGAGTGTCTCACAATTAGAGAGGCTGCTGAGACCACTGTGGCTCACATGAGAATTGCTCCAAATTTCTTTTTACTCTTTCGACCTGCTGAGGTAGCACCCACTCGGAACAGCTGGTATGACTTTGGCCTGTGGGCAACCTAAGAGTGTGCAATGCACGTGGCACCATTTGTCACCTTGAAAACTGGTTTAAATTTTCTGATTTATTTTCCCATTACAAAAAAATGATAATGCTCTGGCTGTGACTGTGCAGTTTTTGTTCAGCAAGCACTAGTACTCAGTGGAAAGCAAACAAAATCTAGTGTTTAGTGTCTCCCTTCAGCTCCCCACCCCAGTCCCAGCCTAAATAGAAAACTCACCTTTACACAAACACCTCTAGTTCTGCAGAATTACATGCTGGCCCAGAACCAATAAAACCCCATAAGCTGAATTTTTGGAATGGAGAGGGTATGCATTGCTTCCTGAGCCTGCTGCTTTCCACTGACCCTACACAGCCAGGTTTGTGACTGTGTTGTCAGAAGCCAGTTTCACTTGCCGAGGCTAAGAAATCACCATCAGTTCTGCTCATCTGAGCTTTGTTTTCTGGTGAGGTTAGTTCATACTTAAATACAATGCAGGGCTAGGTAAGCAGACACATCAAAGAACACCTAGAGAGATTTTATAGACAGCCAAACAAGGCCACAACTAGTCTCTGTCCATCCTCATGTCCACTTTTTTCTGTCTTATTAGAGAGCTTCTGGGCATGAAGACATTCTCCCTCTTTAAATGCTCTATGTGTTTCTTCATGCTTTAGTAGGTCTTCTATGATAGTAAGTATCTCATGTACAGTTTTGTTTCAAGAGGTGTTTGCTGTCTTTGATTTTCTTCTGGCAATACTCAATAGCCTGCAGGCTCAAGTCCAAAATCTGGGAGTCAAGTCCTAGGACTCAAGTCTTAAATTTGAGGTCATGCTGACTAAAGTACATGACTAACCAAATGAAGTCAAAAACGTGTGGCCCCTTGCTTCATGGTGGAATGCTGGAAAATTAAAAGAAAGAAATGTAAAAAATTATTAGCACATCCCACTTGAAAAAACAAAACAACACCTAAAAATGATTTTTACATGCAAAAATTAATGTATTATAGTAGAGGAAGAAAATTTACAAATATCTTTTGTGGATCTGTAAGATTTTCAGTCCATCAGTATCCACGTTTATTGTGCTGTGATTGCCTAGGACTGTATGGCCTCTATAGCTTCATCTGCTGAATAAGCACTTCCCAATATTTAAAGATATCCTTTACCTATTTGGAATCCTTTTGCTTGTTCTATTTTTTTCCTGAAAGACACTGACTCCTTTTTCTCCTGCAGTTTTGATTTCTGTATTTCTACAAGAATCTCCTCTATGATCTCTGCAACACTGCACAGAACCCAACTGAATAGGGACTGAAGATTTGCTGCTAGTGACTTTGCTGAGATCACAGGAGGGTAAAGGAGGACAAAAATCAAGATAGACCTTGGCTGCACAATGCTGGCTGCTAAAGGAAATACATACAGAGGACTGAAATTGGAGGTGGTGTAACAGGTAAGTCAGGGCAAGTACCTGTATCATAAACTAGTCTGAGTTAAATGATCAAAACTAAAGATGAAAAGGGGAATACAGCAAATGATAGCACAGAATATATTCTTATTGCATTTCGGCTTTCAATTGTCAGTAAATGTGTACCTTGGGTTGAACCTGACCCAACACTGCATGGTTACATCATGACTTCTGTCACTGCCTGTGACTGGTCTTGCAGTAAGGCCAGAGCTGAAAAAACAGGAAGGGAGAGTGGTAGTTTTAAAATGTATATATTTGTATTTCAAAAAATCTCGTAATATTCGTCATCAAAATCTAATAATTTAAAACCAACCAGTAAATGTGGTGGATATATGCATATATTTGTAAGGAATATGAATGTAATTAATACTGCCTACAGTGCTACACTTAGGTATTACTTCCTTGGGAAATTCTAAACTGAAGCCGACTTGGTGGCTTGTACCGTTCTGACTGCCAACAAGAAAGAGCAGAAAACATCCCATCACAGAATTGGCACTTACTGCCTTTGCCAAAAGCTTGCATGATTGCTCTGTACCAGTTGTGTCGTCCGAAAGGTCCACAAGTTTTCCTCATCAGTTTGTGTCCTCCAAACCCTCCCAGGTCATGCTGGCATGGAATAGAGTGACTTTGGGGAATTCAGAATGTTGTGCTAGTGGTGAATTTGGCCCTTTGCAAAAGAGAGTGATATCCCTGTGATGGTTTTAGCCTAGGCCTTCCTGGTAACCAGCTTGTAACCAAGGAAGTGGCCATGTACCCAGTATTCCATACAATTTTTACGTAAACCAGGGTATAAATAAGTTGGAGATTAGAGACCTCCTCTCTTCTCTTCCAGTGAGGTCCAGGAGCAGTGGGTCCTTGAGTTGGTCTTGCTTATCTGGAGGTTGAGGCTTGCAGTGACCGCTGGTCTACCACGTGGGAGATTTGGAGAGTGCCGGTAGTGTCTGGTGATCTTGTTTTTCTGAGGGACGTGGTAAGATTTTGTTTTGCTAGTTCTTTATTTTGCTAGTTCTTGGGTTTGATTGTGCATATCTATTCTGGTTTTGTCCCTTTTTGTCCCTTTTCCCCCTTTCCCTTGGGGGGGTGTTTGGAATCCCTTCGCTGTGTACATAGTATTTTAATTGTATATAACTGTAATATACGTAAAAATATCTATTTTTATATAATTAGATTGATTTCAGGTTCCTCAATTTTTACAGTTTTTTTCTTTGCCCTAAAGGAAGAAGGGAGGGAGAAGGGATTGTTACTGTGAGTTTGGGCATTTAGCAGGGAACCACGTCCAAACCATCACAACCCCACTTTTCCCTCTCTATCTCTCTCCAGCAGGAAATTTTCATTTCCAATCCAATAACTCATACAAGTCTCTTCATCTTTTTGTCTGACGCTCTCAGTCTCACAACGAAGAACAAAAGCTAAATCCTACAAAACAACATAAGGGAGATGCCAGTTATGATTAGGCTAAAATTAACACAGTCTCCTATTGTATGTTAATGCTTTATGTACATCATGCATTCAGCTAAAGGGATAGATAGAGGAATAGTCTGGGTAAGGGGAGAAAATTAAGTTTATAGCAAAGACTGTGTTTCCCCCAATCCAAAGCATTTAAAGACTAGCAATTGCTTCATTCTTTTATTCTAAAAGAGTTTCCCTCCCAACTCTGTCAAACAACTTTCTGCTAGCCCTGCCTCTAGTTTTAGTTATCAACTTGCTTTTGCTATGCTGTTCATAAGAAAAGAAATCAAGCAGACATGAATGGAAAATAGAGTTGGATAAGTATCTGGCAGTTTCATGAGAAGCATATCCTAGAGAGCAGCAATAATCTAGATAAGGTTCAGCTTTCCTTTGTGCTTGATTTAAGGACAGTTGTTTGGCAGCTCCACACTTCCCATGTATACTTTGCAGTTTATGCATGAACGTAGATTTCCTCCCCGAATATCATCCCATAAAGAAACAAATAAAGATGGAAAAAGTTTGGGAAGATATTTGTAAGTTATAAAAATTATATGCATCCATAGTGACATATTTTATATAAGGATTTTTGAAGCAGCCTTTTTGCTCTCATGTGGAAGAAATGCAAATTTTTTTTTTTTTTGTGGCTAGTAACTGTACAGACAGGTATACTGGAATGGGGAGGGACAAACAATTCTAAAGATGACAGATCTGTACAGAGAGCTGTTAGTATGCCAGATCTTATTACAGAGCTGTGGGAGGCCTTGTACACTACGTACCAGCTCTATGGGGACCTCCATATTTAAAAGGATGAAAAAAATGTGATTTGAAAAACCCCTCATGGGCAGCCTTCAAAGGCACAGACAGGTTCTGACTGGATTAACATTTATTGACTGTTTAAGCCTGCTTTTTTGCTTCAGGACAGAGATACACGAGTTTAATTGCAGAGGCTGTTCTGCCAACTGATCACCAGAGTGGCAACCAAAGCTTTACTAATCGGTCCTTCATTAAAGAAAAGTCTCTATTACAAAATAAATTAAGCATGCTCTGATCCCAACCTACAGGTCCAATGGCATTACAGCAAAGTTTAGGCTGTTAGAGCACTGAAAAACTTATTAAGGTTTAGCGCTGATATAGCACTTTTGTATTGATTTTACAATACACAGGTATTATGATTTATGGAGTGCTAGTGTCACTCTAACAAGCTGAAGGACACACAATATCATCTCCAACATCATTAAAATTCAGAAGCCTCTAGAACTAACTCATCAACCACTGTGCATTGTCACAGGCTATAGAGCTGTATTCTAGTTGGAAAATGCCCTGAGCTTCCCGGGCAGTTGTCTTCCGGAATAATTTAATTAAAAAAAAAAAAAAAAAAAAAAAAAAAAAAAAAAAAAAAAAAAAGGAGGGGTGAGGAAGTGGGGAGAGAATTCAAACCCTGCGTGTGTTTTAAAAACTGACTATGACTGTCTAGTTCCTGTAATCGCATGACACTATTCTTTACCATCGCCTGTACCGAACTGGGTTGTTCTGACTCCTGCTGCCAGCACTACCGCTCCGGAGAGCGCCAGGGCTACTGGAGATGGCTGGCTAATCACAATCCAAAGGGAACACCCTCGGTGACAGCCGTGCGCTGTTCTGCCTCGTTCAGTGTCCCGACTGTTTCATTTTGCCGAAGTTTGGGTCCGCACCGTACCCCAGCCCTCCTGCCCGGGCGGCCGCTTTCGCCCTTTGCACAGAAAGGAAAGCCGAGCCCCGGCGGTGCCGCACGGCGCTCCCTCCCTCCCGAGGCCGGCCAGGCCCGGCCCGGCCCCGCCGGGCGGTTCCGCGGTGCGCTGGGGACCCCTGTCGGCCGCCGGCCGCAAGGGCGGGCCGGGCCGCGGGCGGGGAGAGACCGAGCCGTGATCCGCGCCAACACCGCCCGGAGCTGCCGGGCCCCTCCCGACACGCGTTCCTTTCGGCTCAGGTGCGTGCCTGCCATCCCATTCGAGCCCCTGCTCCTGGACCCCCGTTCTGTGCTGGTAACGCCAAGCTGGTGTTTAACAACTGGTGGGGGAGCACGCTGAGTAGGGACATGGCTTTGCATTCCTTCTGTTGCACTCCAAGCTCAGGAAGTTCTCTTCCCGGAATCTTATAACAGGGGTGACAAGAATACCTATAGCATTGGAGTTTGTCTGGGCTAGCTAGAGGAATTTGTCTTGGCAAAATCCTGGTTTGCTATCCCACACTGCACTAAGTTGTCATAGTTTGTGATTATGGCAATAGGAATCCTTGATCCTAGTTCTCTTCTGTGTTACTATTCACACACCAATGGCATTTACACCAACACTGCGAAATCATTAAAAAGGGGACTGAGGAACAACAGTACAAACCACCGGAGTACCAAACCCATTTGTTTTTAATGAGGCAATGCATGATGCCAGGTATCATATTCTAAGCATTTCTATTCTTTTACTTGGTGATCACTGGTAGCTGTTGTCTCATACCTCAATTGATGAACAGTGTTATATCATTATTACATTTGTGATGTGAATATAATCAAGTATAGAAACATGCATTCTACTGCCACTCTTTTGTGTGCACAGCTCCCCTTACAAGCTGTGTGAATGTTTCATGTGAAAGGACTTCAAAGTTGGGTGGTTGGGTAGCTAAGCTTATTAGAAAAAAGCCTTTTCTGAGGTATTTCAAAGTGTCCTAAAAATTGGCAAAGCCTTAAGATGTAGCTCATATTTCTGTTTGGCATATATGTATTCATTTTTTCTCCCCAGTTGTGAAATATCTAAATGTTTTTAGCTTTGAGTATTCTTGAAAATGCCATTTAAAGTTATAAAATACTTCCTAAATTATTTTTCTCATTAACGTTAGACTGTGGCTTATTGATTACTTTTACCTTAAATTACCCCTAAATCTTTTCAGATTTACCTCTTACACTGATGTAAGTCTTAGTTCAACCGGGAAAGTCTTCCGATCTCAAACTGCAGAAGTACCATCAGCATAAACAAGATCAGGAGCAGTCAATAATATGTGAGTAATGCATGTAAATGACTGAATGAAAACCCCCACAAAAGTCCAAATCAGCATTTCTCTCTTCTGAGAATTGCAGTACCCTCCTTTTTCGGATCTCTTACAAATCTACTAACACTCAAGCAGTCCTGCAAAATGCTTCTCCAGTGCATATAGATAAGTAACAGCTAAAAGAATAAATTAGGTCTTCTCTAAAATGATTGTAGTATATGTATAAAAGATTAGATGTTTTCCAGACCAGTGTAAATAAGTCAATGGCTTATTAGAGTGGTAGAAGTTGTTTATATTTTTGTTGCTTATGTTTTTAATGGTATATCATTTCTAAGGAAGGAGGAAAAGGCTTTTCTTTCCAGTATAGCCAAAGACACCTGATTGCAAAATTCAATCAGTCCTAAAATTAAAATTAGGAGGCTGGATCAGCATGAAAGCAATTGTGCTGTAAGTCAGCGTTAAGATGTTATTGATAGAAAAGCTAATGCAATACGTTTTCTTCTGTCACACGTTT